CAGCCCAACCCGGCCCCCGGCCCAATCAGGCCAGCCCCCCAACCCCCAGGTCCCAAACGGGCTCCAACCCGGCCGCGGAACTGCCTAAGTCACCTTCCGCCCTCCGACCCCAGGACCCGGCCTGGCCGCCCGCATCCCATTCCGGGCCTCATCGCCCGCCTGGGACTCCGGCCCCGGGACTTTGCCCCGGAGGGAAGCCCCGAGCCCCCAGAGTGAAGGCAGAACCCCTAGGACGCTCCACGTGCGTGCTCGCCCTCTCTGTTCCACCCTCTACGTTTGTTTTTCCTATTTTGAGGTAGAAAAAGAACACCACCCATCAGGAGACCACGGGGCATCCCTCTTCCGCCAAGAATTCTTAGGAACCCCGGGAAAGGGGTGCTGAGCCCCCCAGGTCTGGAGATGGACAGGCGGGCACTAGGAGGGGTCTCGGCATCCGAAGGTGCAGCCGGCTCCGGAGCCCCTCGTGCCCCTACCTCCGCCTGCCACCCTCAGGACACTTAGCCGTCCCAGGTCCCCGGCTCCCCGAGTGCCCTGCGCGATCCCCCGGGGAGCCGGAGTTGCTCAGCTGGACGCACGTTGACATGTTTGTCGCTTTACAGAAACAGCCAGGAGGGGTAGAGCTCGGTCTTAGGGATAAAGATGGAGAAAATGCGTATTTATCCTTTAATATATTTACATAGTTAGATGTTCTGTGTTTCTAATGCACATAAATGGCACAAAGGCCATCCGCCCCGCACGCCCAGCGCGTGGTCTTCGCCAGCCGGATGTTGACGGCGTCGCGTAGCAACGGGAGATGGCGGAGCCTGGCGGCCGGGCTGGCGGGTAAGCGGGCCTAGGGACCTTGGGTCTCGCTGCGGCCCCCACGCCTCCTTTCTATAGCCCCCTAGGCGCCCCTTCCCTTCCATGCCCCTTTTCCCTCTCCTCTGCCCCTGCCACCCCCACCCTCTGGGCCTTTCCTGCCCTCCCCGGCCACCCCCACATTCCTGCGCGCCCTTCTCCCTTCTCACCTCGCGTCCCTTTGTCCTCTCCCGTACCCTCCCCTTTTCCCCTCGCTCCGGGCGCTCCACTCGCTGAAACCCGGGACTTACTTGTCCCACAGTAACCATGACAACCACGGTGCTTGGTGGTTGAGAGCAGGGGTCTCTGTACTGGATGCTGCCCCAGCGAGGTGCTGTAACAGGGAGCATCAGCCCAGCCCCCCGCCTCCCTCCCCCTCACCAGGGTTGGAGGTGGCAGGCGATGGGCTGGGGTCCCTACGGTCAGGCAGCCCCACCGTGAATGCCTTGAGCACACAGATAGACAGTAGTAAGGTAAAAATACCAGGCCTCCGTTCTCTTATGCTTTGTTTAAAAGGACAGAAACTATTTTAAAGAATTTAACCTTTTACATTAGACACTGCTGTATTGTTTCTTTTTTTTTTTTAAGGTAGGTCTACATGTACTGACATGGAAAGAAGTCCAGATTACAATAAATGAAAAGACTAAATGCAAAACAGTATATATAGTGTGATCTCTAATTTGGGTGGGTGGGTAGCTTTAAATGCATAGAAAAATATTTGAAAGAAGATACCCTTAAATCTCTTACTTTTACCACTGGTTATCTTGAGAAGGAGAGGAGAAGTCACAGGGGATTTTCATTGTCTGTCACATATTTCTGTATTAGTTTTACTTTTTTAAAAAAAATATAGTTTTTTTCTAATTAGAAAAAAAAAATTTTTTTAATGTGACATTCTTGTACTATCTACATCATGAGGAAATTGGCACTTCCCTGGCGGTCCAGTGGTTAAGACTGTGCACTTCCACTGCAGGGGGCACGGCTTTGATCCCTGGTTGGGGAACTATTATAAAATCCCACGTGCTCTGAGGCATGGCCAAAACAAAAAACAAACAAAAAAATCCACGGGGAAACTAACCAAGAGTTTCTAGAGTATTTTGTCCTTTTTGTACAATTTTCTCTTACTTTGCGTTTATTTTCCCCAGTTTTGTCACAGACAGAGGTATATTTAAGGTGACTTTTCTGGAGTAATCTACCTGTTTCTTTAATGCTTCGATAATTGCATTTTTCATTCATTCTTGGAGTGACTCTTTTGTGCCACGTGACAGGCAGGATCTAGTGCTGGTGTTAGTGACAAAGTCATGGCCATCAGCCTAGAGGGAAGGCAGATAATTAACGAGTAAATAAGTAGATATACAGACATCAAGGAGGTGATAAATGCCAAGAAAAAGAAAGATGTTATTTGAAACTGTTAAATTGTTTCTCTGCCACCAGGTCTCACCTGGAAGGCAAATCTTCTGAAGGAGAAGAGGACCAGAATCATGAAGGCAACAGGGTAAAGTTCCTTATGGGATGAATTATTCTGGGCCTTATTTACTAAGAATTAAAGAGAGTTCAGACTTCCTCAAGAAAATTGTACGATGATCCTATGACCTTTGCTCTAGAACAGACTCAAGTCATTTGCAGAGAAGCTCAATTTCCTTCCACCCCATTCTTAAGTGTTGGTGGCTCTTGAGGAATGCCTCGGATATCCTACAGTTAGATTGCCCTGAGTTTTTCAGAGGTCATTTCCTGTAATGTAAAATACTTACCAAAAACAGAGAGCAGATAAACTAAAGCATGAAACATAATCTCCTAGCGATGCTCAGAGTGTGTAGCTGCAGTTTTCCCATCGGTGTAATTACCTTATTAAGAATAAAACCTCACAAGACCCTTTATACTTTGTATCCTGATGTTTTTCCTGCTACGTGGCTACAGGTATCACCGATAGAGAAGAGCAGTGACCAGAGAAATGAAGAAACTGAGGGTGCTACAGAGCATTCTGAAGGGGAAATCAAAAACGATGGGGAAGTCTCAGCCCAGGGGAAAGATGACGATGAGGAAGTCAAAATCCAAGGGGAAATGGAAACGGAAGAGGAATTCGAATTTGAACAGGAGTTAGAATCTGATATTGAAGCCACGGCCCCTGAAGGGGAAGTCACTTCTCCAGATCTGGCTTACTCAGACAGCAGTCCTGGGGAGGTGGCCAGAGATGAAGTTGGCCCCACACGCCAGCATGAGAGAGCAAGGAGGAAAACAGGTCTTGAAGACGGAGAGGACCCCAGCCCATCCAGATCCAGAGGAGCGGGGGTCATCTCCACAGAGCCCTCCCAGCAAGTATCAGGCTCATCTGAGCAAACGGACCAGGAATCGGTGAGTAGCCTGAGGTCTGTTTTACGCAAGTGTTTTACTGCTCAAGTTGTCTGTACTCCTATGTGAGGAACTCAGGGTACACTATAAATAATTCACACTGCAATCCCTGTTAGAAATGCCTTAGTAAACTTAGGTCTCAGGATCTACCATCAAATGCCAAGAGTTTCTGGACCCTCCCTTGCTGTTCCCAAACCCAAGTTGGGAACATTCCATGTAAGGGCATCTAGGTGTCCAGTCTCTAGAGCAGCACTGTCCAGTAAAATTCTGCATGATGATGGAAATGCTCTTTATCTGCTCTGTCCAATATGGTACCCATTACTCACGTGTGGCTATAGCACACTTGAAATGTGGCCAGGGACATGGAGGAACTGAATTTTTAATTTTTTGAAAATTCTAATTAATTTAAATTTATATAACCACTTGTTACAAGTGGCTACCATACTGGACAGTGCGGTTCTAGATCATGACAATAGTTACATTCTTATAATTTTCATTTTTAAATTTTTTTTAAAGATTTTTTTTGTGTACCATTTTTAAAGTCTTTATTGAATTTGTTACCCTATTGCTTCTGTTCCATGTTTTGGGGTTTTTTTGGCCAAGAGGCATGTGGGATCCCAGCTCCCTGACCAGGGATCAAACCCGCACCCCCTACATTGGAAAGCAAAGTCTTGACCACTGGACCGCCAGGGATGTCCCCTCATTTTTAAATTTTTAAGCAAGCACAGACTTACAGAAAAATTGGAGTACCATAGAACTTTTAATTTTTTTAAGCATTTGGGAGTAAGCTGTCGATCTGATACCCCATTGCTTCCCAATGCTTCCATGTATGTTTCCCACAAACAACAATATAATGACTATCAAAATCAAAAAATTATATTACATTACCCTATCATCCTCAGGCCTCCTTCACCAAATGTCCCAGTAATGTCTTTTATAGCAGAGCCCCAGTTCAGAGTTGCCTGTTGCCTTCAGCTGCCCAGTTTCTTTAGTCTTCTCAATCTGTCCTTGACCTTGATGACCTTGACACTTTTAAAGGTCACAGGCCAGCTATTTAGTAGAATGTCCCTCAGTTTGGCTTTGCCTGGTATTTCCAGGTTTCCAGGTATGGTTTATTATCCTTTGGCAGGAATGTCACAGAAGGATGCTGTGTTCTCCTGATGTCCTGTCAGGTGATGCATCATTTCAGCTTATCCATCACTGATGATGTTGGCTTGGATCACTTGATGAAAAAAGTGTCAGCCTTATCCACTGTAAAGATACCCCTCACCCCTAGGCATTTAAGAAACACTGTGTGAGAAGGTGCTTTTTTGGTTTAAGATAGGAAAGTGAATATTTATTTCAAATGAGAAAAAACAACAACAGATTACACCATTGTTTTAGGACTTCTTACTTCTCTCAGCAATGTGTACTGCTGTTGCACATCTTTTGTCAGGTTTATCCCTATATATTTTGCATTTTTTAAAAGAATTTGTGGAATATTTTATTTTATTTTTTATTTTTTTATTTTTTTGGCTACGCTGTGTGGCATGCAGGATCTTAGTTCCCAGACCAGGGGTCAAACCTGTGCCCCCTGCAAGGGAAGCGTGGAGTCTTAACCACTGGACCACCAAGGAATTTCCTATTTTGCATTTTTTGATGCCATTATAAATGGTTTCCAATTGTTTGTTGCTAATTTATAGAAATACAATTGATTTTTGTATATCAATCTTATATTCGGCAACATTGCTAATCACCCTTGTTGGGTCTAGTAGCTTTTTTTTTTTTTTGTAGAATCCATAGGACTTTTCACGAAAAGGATTGTGTTGTCTGTGAAAAAAAGGCAGTTTAACTTCTTCCTTTCCAATCTGGATGCCCTTTATTTCTTTTTCATGTCTGATTGCACTGACTAGAACCTCCAGTACAATGTCAAATAGTAGTAGTGAGAGCAGACATCCTTTTTCCAGATTTTAGGGGGAACGTTTTCCGTCTTCACAGTTGCATATGACGTTAGCTGTGAGTTTTCATAGATGCCTTTTGTCGGGTTGAGGAAGTTCCATCTATTCCTAGTTTGTGGATATTTTTTTAATCATGAAAGGATGTAGGCTATTGTCAAAAGTGCTTTCTGTGTCTATTGGGAGGATCATGTTTTTTTCTTTTTTAGTTTGTTAATTTGGTGGTTACATTGATTGATTTTCAAATATTAAAACAACTCTTCATTCTGAGATAAACATGGGAGGGATACTCTGAAACTATGGTAACATCCATTCCTTGTTAAACTTTCAATTTATTCATGTGAAGTTTCACATCTGTATGGACTCATTGTTTCCCATTTCATTCACTGTGTTATAATTCATTACTATCATTATTTATATTGAGGCTCAGATTGTTCCCAGTTTGACCAGTGAGCCCATTCAAATTGGCCTTTGTGTCTTTCTGACACATCAGTACCATTCGTTTTTTTCTTTTTTTTTTTTTTTTGCAAACCACCATCATCCTTTAGGCACTTTCTTGTTCTCTGGCACAGACTGCCCCAGCCTGAGAACCAGACATTTCTCCAGGAGCTTGGATTCTTTTCATGGAACCCTCGACCCCAAACACACCATACACGTACACACATACACGTAGCTCACACCAAAACGTCTCTGATTCCAAACCACCCTTGACATGGTTCCTGCAATTTTCTCCCCTTCTATATTTTAACTCCTTTTTCCAACAGTAGGAGACCTGGTCCCTATTATCCTTAACATATTATTAATTTGATCAATCCCCCAAATGTAACCCTCACTGCACTTCCCTGCCCCCATGTGGACACTCCTCACCCCACTCAGGCTCAGACACACACCCTCACTGGGCCACCCTGACTGTGGACACCCTCATCACCTTGTTGGGCCAACCCCACCCAGGCCAGGCCCCAATTGTTTGGGCTGTGACTCTCCACACCGGGACCCCTCCTCAGCAGGCCCAGGCCTGACACCTGTGCTATCATGACCCACCTCGGGGACAGTCTCTGAAACCTGCTCTCCTCACCTTGTCCAGGCCTATCACCCCACACTGGGCCAAGCCAACCTGTTGGCTTTAGGTTTGATTGTTCTAGAAGGGAAGTGAGGGGCAGGGCGGGGCAGGAAGAGAGCGCATAAAGTTTCTCCATCATGGACTCTGGGCTGGACACTTCAATGCCTTTGACATGTGTTGTTTCAGTGATTCCTGACAACAACCCTGTGAGGTGGGAACTATTATTATCCCCATAGTTCAGGTGAGGAAACTGAGGGGCCAAGGGACTTCCTTGCCCAGAGGCATGCAGCTGTGGTGGCAGACGGTCACTCTGGCTCTGAACGGTGAAGTGACAATCCCTCCCCACCCTGTGAAACCTAGAAGAGTTAATAACTTTAGAGAATGACACAATTCAATATTCGATGACCCCCAATTAAGCTTTATAATTACAAATGACAAGTACATGATCAAAACCACTTTTAAGAATTTAGCACAACAAAACAGTGCCCTCCTTTCTAAGAAAGCCAGGACTGGGAATTCCCAGGCGGTCCAGTGGTTAGGACTCTGCTCTTTCATTGCCAAGGGCCCAGGTTCAATCCCTGGTTGGGGAACTAAGATCCCACAAGCCGTGAGTCATGGCCAAAAAGTAAATAAATAAAAGATAGCCAGGAGTGTTCAAGTACAGGTCACTTGCTGAGCTGTAAAAACCAATTTCCATCCTCGAATCTAGTTTCTAGAAACCTCACGAAGAAACAGTCTCCAAATTTGATCAGCCAGAAGGGCAGAGACAAGCCCAAAGAGAGAGCCCTATTTCTCTCCTCTCAGCTCTCAGTCTTAAGAAGTAACTTAATCGTGGAGTAAAAGCTGCTGTGTCATCGGCGTGTTCTGACACCTCATTGATGTCTCATTAGGAGAAGCCCTTTCTGGACACCCCAGAGGTGGGCTTTGGACTCTGGGCCCCCATTAATGTCATTGTGGTTCTGGATGCCTCAGAAATCGTTTCTAGAAGCAGCATCACCTGAGGAAGCACAATTAGAAAGAAGAGGAGCTGGGCGTTGAGATGACCCTTGGCTGGCTGTGCGAACTTAGGCAAGGGCTTCAGCTTCTGTGAGCTGCTTTC